ACCCCATGCGGCTGCCGCTGCTCCGTGCACTTCCTCCTGAGCAAGTTTCTGGCTGCTGTAAGCAACCAGTTTTCTAATTCACCATGCTGTTTCTCCACCATTTCTTTTCTTTTCTTTCTTTCTTTTTAAAATTTTTTTAATGTATTTGGTACAGGGTCTCACTACACAGCTTGCACTCGTCGTGATCCTCCTGTTTTCAGCCTCTCCACACCGGGCCTTGGTGGCAGGCTAGGCATGGGGCTGGCACAGCATGTGGTACCAGGAACAAAACTCAGGTCCTTGTGCTTGCCAGGCGGGTGCTTAAGACCGGCAAGCTATCCCCCTGGCCCTCCACCATTTTTCTAAAAGTATAAATAAACCACTTACTTAGTAAGTATTTTACATTTGCATGTGTACTTTTCACTGAAAATTACTTTTTTTTTTTTGAGATGAAAATTATTTCTTAAGCCTGTCCCCAAATTTAAAATTATTTTGGAAACATGTTAGATGGCTATACATGGTAGTACTTCTGCCTAGTCATTCCCCCATCATTGGATGTTTGGGATTTAAACATTTGCAACCAAAGTAAGGGAAGAATATCCACAGCATGCCTCATTTTGAGGAAGAAAAGAAGAAGCCAGGCATGGTAGTCCACATCGGCAATCTCAGCACCGAGGCAGCTGAAGCAGTAGATCTGCTGTGAGTTCAAGGCCAGCCTGAACTGCACAATGAAAACCTATCTCGGGGCCAGGAAGCTAGCTCAGTGGCATAAGTGCCTGCCTGGCCAGCTCAAGGTCCTAAGTTTGATTCCCCCCACCATGACAAAAACAACAATTGTCTCAAAAAATGAAGAGAATTTAAATATGCATGGCCAGGCATGAGGCTGAGACAGGAGGATGATAAATTTGAGCCCAGATTGGCCAATTTAGTTAACTGTTGCAATAAATAAATAAGTAAATAGGGGCTGGAGAGATGGCTCAGTGGTCTAAAGCACCTACTTGAAACAAGCTTGGCAAAGCACAGGGACCGCGGTTCGATCCCCAGCACCACATGCCAGCCAGACCCGCCCCCTGGTGGGCTGAGCTGGCCACACACACACACAATAAATAAATGTAATAAATAAAAATAAAAATAAAAATAAAAAAATAAGTAAATAAATAAATGAGGGATTGGGATATAGCTCAATGCAGATGTCCTGGGTTCATTCCCCAGCACAAGCAAAAAACTCCAAACACCCCCCACCCCGCCCCGCAAAGATGAAGGTATCTGTCTTTATGTGAAAACAAACACAAGAAAATAATAAACTAGAAATGCTAGAAACTCAAAGGACTAGCGATCAGGGGGTGAGAGAGAAGCAGCAGGGGAGGAGGGTGTGGTGGAGGGAGCCTCCTACAGGCAGAGACAGACCAGGGTCAGTTACCAGCAGCCTCCAATGGGGCACTGCACCAATGGCTCACGTATTCAAAAGTAATTAAATAGGAAAAAAATCAGTAAGGAAGGTGGAAAGAGTCCTAAAGTAGGAAAAAAGCAGAAATGGAACTACACTTCAGATGACTCCCATAACCATGCCAAGGGAAGGGGAAGAATAAAGAAAAGCCAACTCCTTTTTTTTGTTTTTTTGTGGTACCGGGGATCAAACTCAGGACCCTGCACTTGCCAGGCAGGCATTTATGCCCCTGAGCTATATCCCTGGCCCACCAACTCACTTCTGAATACAGTAAATTAACGTTAAGACCCCTGGGTAAAGGCAGCGCTCTAAAGTGATAGTGAAGTATTACTAGGTTTGTTTTTCACAGGGATGAAAAACACAGATTAGCAATTCTGGAACTACATTCTGCAAATTCTGCAATGGAGGAAACAAAAGAATGAATGAGTAAATACACAGTGGTGCTGGGTTTCTTCCTGTTAGGAAAGGGTGCTCTGAGTATGGAAAAGAGGGAAGTGGCTGGACCTAGGGGCTGTGGGCTAGAACTGCAAGCATCAGTGTGAACGCCAAGCATGTGTGTAGAAGGACGGGCACAGGAAGGGCTGGGGATGTGAGGCGCACAAGCACCCGTGCTTCGCTGCGGAGACAGCCCAGCAGCAGTGAGCACCCCGATCATACTGGCGCTGGTCTCTAAATCCTGATGTCCACTAGAAGGAGCAAGTCTCCTGTAAGAAACTGTTGATTCTGGTTCAGGGACAGAGAAATTAAAAGATGAACACAGAACAAAGGAGCAAAAAGCTGATCTGGAAGGGTGCCCACTGGCCAATCTTGGGTAGACTGGAGCCTCAAATGCCTGTAACTCATTGAATAAAATACAGATCTTCAGTCCACACCCACACAAGCAAACAAACAAATATGTAAAAGGAAGAGAAGGAAAGGCTTCTTGTGGATGCCACAGCAGTGTAGAATAGAGGAAGTTTCCATTTGGAGACCTTCACAGTAAGAGATCAGCCATTTCTCAAACCATACAGGCTGAGGATGTAGCTCAGTGGTGGAGCGGCTGTCCAGCATGTACGACATCCTGCGCTCAATATCTAGTACATACAAATAGAAAGAAAGAAAGAACAGGGAAGGAGAGATGGAGGGAGGGAGGGAACCAACGAGAGATTCAGTCTGGAATCTCGAAGGCAACCAAGGCAAGTTTAGTAAGAAATCTGCTACCTAGAATTGCAAAGTACTTTCAGAAGATTCTAACTAGAGATAAAAAAGGAAAACAGTGATGAGATCTGGAAGACACTGTCCTGACAAAAGTTTCAAAGTTGGTATCACCAATAAGGGGACAAATCTCTATCACGAGCCTCTGGGACACAACACCTCTGTGATGACCCTGCCAAAAATGTATGTCCTGAAGCTAATCAGGGGACCGGGGAGATGGCTCAGTAGAATAAACACTTCCCTGGCAAATGCAAGGGCCTGAGTTCAATCCCAGGTTCCACCAAAAAAAAAAAAAAAAAGTACTGAAGCTAATCAGCAGGAAGCAGCAGAGAAACACCAACGAACTGTAAAACAACAGGTCTGGAAACTGTCCTACTAATCGGATTTGAAACTGTCTCACTGCTATTTGTTTCTCAATAAAATTATGGGGAAAAAAACCCCCCAAAACCAGATCTGTAGCCATCAAAAATACCAGGATTGGGGCCGGGGAGATGGCTCAGTGGAATAAGTGCTTCCCTGGCAAGCGCAAGGGCCTGAGTTCAACCCCCAGTTCCGCCAAAAAAAAAAAAAAGTTAAAAAAAACCAGGATCGTAAAAGTCAACACAGCTATGTGGAGGGCAGGAAACGAGGCAGGATCCTGTGAGCAAGCACCCTGCGCCATGATGCCAAGATGGCTTTATTCCTCTTCTGCTCTCAGGCACATTGCTGGGAAAACTAGCAAGCTTGAGTAAGGTCTGTAGACTATTTTATTGTATTGATGCTGACTTATTGTACTGATTCTGCACATAGGGAAACGTCAAACTTCAGTGTACATTTTTAGGAAATGTACACTGAAGTCTGAAGTCCTTTGGGGTCAAGAGGCATCAGGCCTTCTATTTACTCTGAAAAGTATATGTGTGTGTGGTACATGTAGGGGAAGGAGAGAGGTAAGGAGGATAAACCAATGTGGTACAAAAGTTAACATTTAGATCTTGGTAAAAGATATATGTTAATTCTTTGCACAATTCTTGCAAATTTAACTTTTTTTTTTTTTTTTTTGGAGGCCAGAAGATGCCATTAGTGCATTTCTGGTTTACAGTTAGTATCTGGGTTCGAACCACAGCAGCCTGAGCTTGAGTGCTTTGTTTAAGCAGGCACTTAAACAACTGAGCTAATGGGCAGGCCCCCTAACTTTTCTATAGTTTGATATTATTCCATACACATATATAGTCTACACTCACACACAGTTGATACCAAAACTATATACCAAATAACACTGACCATAATTTTTTTTTCTGACCATAATTTTTGTTTCCTCAGCATTCTTTGTGGAATTACTAAGACAAAGCTATATCATTTTAAAAGATTGCTTTAAACATATTTAAGAGATTGATGTGAAAAATACTGATACAAAGAAACAGAAAGGTTCTTGACACTTCTCACTAGAGGAGAAAAGTAGTGGCAAGGAGGATGAGGCGGGCAGGTGTGGGGGTACATGGGGGTGTAGAGCGGGTCCTCCCACATGGGCAGGAGCAGCTCGAATCACTGTGCATGCCTAGAATGGTGGAACCAAGAATAGAGGAGTCAAAGGCCAGCCGAAGAGAAGGAGGGCTGGACACTGATGACCTGCCATTGGTTCCTGTTTAGAAACATAATCCAATCACCCATGACAATCCCCTGCACAAGACCAGGCTCAGGAACGTGGGCCAACAATCGGGCTGGGATCTCTCCTTGCTGTGCTCAGGCCCACTGTGGAGTTTCCAGGGGTCCCTGAAGCTCTCCTCTTGGTACTGAAGAAGAAGCCACAGCACTAGTCCTGCCATGGGTGTAAGCGTAATCTGAAGTCGCCTTCTTCTTTAGTACCTCGGTACCTCTCATCAGGTGCCACGTGGGCCCATGCTAAGGGAATGTGCTAAGAGTTGGAGGACTACAACCCCGCAGCTAGCAACATAATCATTCCACCTCCTTGCTGAGGAAAAGGAAGCTAGAGAGTCCAGTCCACAGGCTCTAGGTCAGAAAGCCCAGCCTCACACCTAAGGGTTGAACTCAGTCTGCACTCTAACCACAGTGCTGTGCTGGGTAAAAAAAAATATTTACTTTGGTTTTTGTGATAGGGTCTTGCTATGTAGTTCAGCCTCGTCTTGAACTATGTAGCCCAGGCTGCCCTCAAACTCAAGGCGATCCTCCTGCCTCAGCTTCCTGAGTGCAGGAATTATAAGCGTGTGCTACCATACCTGGGTAAAATGTTTTAGTTAAGAAAAAAAGAGAAGGGGGAGGTAACCAATTATAGATTAAAGATTTTAAGCTAACACATTGGGAGATAAAAATTATATCCAAGTAAATACACATTTTATTTTTCTCTCTGTAATCTGTCGGACCGCCATCTGCCCGAGGGCCTTACCTGGCAGAAGAATTGTTGCTGCACTCCTGCGCCAGGCGCATTACTGAAGGTGCTGGTAGATTTGGAGGGAGGAACTGGAAGACGATGAGATGCACTGACTGGTGCCGGAGTCCTGCTGGGCTGGGCCAGCTGCTCTCCTGTGAAGTTGGCCCCGGAGGGCCCAGCCTGCACTGCAGGTCCAAGACCAGGATGGGCAGTGCTGGCTGAGCTGGACGCTGGGAACCGACTGGGTCCTGCCATGCTAGTCACTGAGGGCATGGTGGTAAAGCCAGGCCTTCCTTGGGAAACACTGCTCTGCCCAGGGGACAGGTGCAGAACAGTTGGAGATGCCTGCTGCAAAGGCATCTGTCCACCCACGATCTGAGGGGAGGCATGGTTGACGATCACGGGACTGCCAGAGGTGGCAAAGGTCTGGCCAGACACTAACTGGACAGCAGCGGTGTTCTGGCTGTTCAGCATGGGTCCGGAATACGGCTGGCTGGCCCTGAGCATGCTGGAGGAGCTCCTGTTTAGCATGACATGCTCCGAGGACACCTGGCTGGGAAGGAGCTGGGAGGGCTGGGTCTGCAGAAGCTGCCCATTGATGGTCTGGACGTGGTGGACCGAGCCAGAGCTGACAGCAAGACTGGTGGGGATGAGGAACTGACTCTGGGGCGTGTGCGGCTGGCCCATGGGGGAATGGATGACAATACTGCCCCCGGCGCTGCTCACCGCCTGCGAGGTGACAGGCTTCCGTGTGTTCTGGTGGTTGACGATGTTCACCGACATGTGTGGGCCGACCACAGAGCTCTGGGGCGAGCTTGCAGAGGCAAAAGAGATCCCTTGCTGCACATGGTGCTGCTGGATTCCCAAGTTGTTCACATTGTACGTATTCTGCTGACCTGTCTGGATAGGCTTTGGCTGGATATTAATCGGGACTTTATTTGAATTTGGTGCGAGACCCCTTTGTATGATGATGTTATGCACAGGTAAAGATGTTTGAAAATTTGTGCTGTTAAATGGAACAGTAACAGGCTGTGCGACGGGACTAGAACTCGAATTCCCAAAGAGGGAGTTGCCATTCGGAGTCTGTCTGTGGACCAGCAGCCCTCCACTCACGCTCGACGGGGTTTGCTGCCCGCTGCCCTTTAATATGATCTGTGATCCATCTAGGTTATTAATGGTCATCATGGAAGGCTGGTTACCAAATGACCCGATTAACTGTATCTGACCAGAACCACTAATCTGACTGCTGTTAGACAAGTGCTGGCTGGGAACGCTGATGCCCACGTGTTGCATAAAGCCATGCTGCACACCCACCGTGCTGCTCGCGAACGACGCCCCCACGGGCACGTGTGTCACCCCTAGTGGCTGCAGCGTCTGACCTGAGTAACTGGAAACATTAGAAGCCTGAGTAAAGGATGCTGATGAGGAAGGATGGAGCTGCGCTTGTGCACACTGCTGGCTGGAGCCTATGCTGGCATCCAGGTACGCCTCTTCCGCCAGGGTCTGCTCAGTGATGTTCGCCTCCTGCAAGGATTTCTGAAGAATGTCGAAAGGTTGGTCCTCGCTGAGATCAGGAAGTGGAGAAGACTCAAGTTCATCCTCAAGAAACTGAAGGCTACTTGAGAGGGGCAGCCCATCACTGGGCCCTTCTCCGAGCTGGTTGCTTACACCTTTTAGGGATGACTTAGGATCAGCATTCTAAAAAAAATAAGCAACATGTTACAGGGGACAGCCAGTCTCCGGAAGAGCTACAAAAAAGATTCATCTCACTCTGGAATATAACTAGAGCGACACTCCGCATTTCAGGCACAGCTCTGCAACCTGCCCACCTCGCTCAACTCTTGTGCTTCCTCAGTGATCCCTCTTACCATCCTGCTCCAGGTCTGTGCGCCTGTGGACCTGATACAGTACCTTACAGGTCTGAACAACATGGAATAAAAAAGATTACCCAGCACTCAGCTCCGTGCTTTTGAGATACCAGTACAGTCTATTTACTTCTATTTTTTAGTGCTGAAGCCTAAATCCAAGGCCTCATGCAGGCCAACTACCTCTGAGTTACACTTCCAGCTCCTAAGGTTTTGTTTTTTAGGACTGCTTTTCAGCAGGGAGCGGTGAGGCATGTGGCTGAGACAGAAGGATGGCAAGTTTGAGCCATGAGCTAGTTCAGAGAGAGGATTGTTGAAAAGCCAACTGCTTAATAGTAAATCCTGCTCAGAGTTGTTTCATAGTGGTCTCCGTCAGTATGCCAATTTGCAAAATTGTAGCCACAATTTTATTTTTTATTTTTTAAATAAATTCTGTTTTGTTTTCTTTTTTGTGGTGCCGGGGATTGAACTCAGGACCCTGTGATTGCCAGGCAAGTGCTATTCTACTGAGCTATCTCCCCAGGGCCCACGATTTTTTTCAAAATTAAAAAAAAAAAATTCTAGACACTCAGAGAAGAGGGGGAGAGGGGAGAGAAGAGGAGGAGAAGAGAGAGAGGGAGGGGAGAAGGGGAGGGAGGAGAGAATAATTCCTGTCACACCCAATTAAGGGTTGGACAACAAGGACATCACCTTCCGACTTCGGTGAATCATTTGAAAGGAAGTAGGAAAAACAAACGAAAGCAGAAGGGTTTCTTTACAGAGAAACATCAAGGCAACAATGAGTATCTCTTGTACTGTGACACACAGCTCAATCACAGCTCAATGCATTCAGTCTATAACTTAACAGACCATGGCCTTAAAACAGACTTTTTTTTTTTTTTTAAGATACTGGGGATCAAATCCAGGGATGCTCTACCATTGAGCTATGTCCCCAGGCCTTTTTGAAACAGGCTCACTAAAATATCCAGGAAGGACTTGGATGTGTGATCTTCCTGCCTCAGCTTCCTTCAAAGCTGGGCTAGACACCAATCTTTTCAAGAATATTTTAAATACTTCTACTACACCAGACATGACGCAATCTAAGTTCCCAATAAATAATACTGAATACAACAGCCTGAAAAATTAGAATGAATTCTTTTATGAAAGTAGGACAACTAGTAAATACAAAGCATTCATGTTGAAGGACAGGGTCAGCATCTACTTTATAGGCTTAGTCGCATCACATGACATTGTTACTCATTCAAAATGCTTGTCAGAAAACAAACAAATCAGGAATTCTACTCAGGCTAGGGCTCAGTGGGAGAGCGTCTATTACATGAAGCCTGGGGTTTGATCCCCAGCACTGAAAAAAAGGGGAAAAGAAACAAAGAAATGTTATTCTGGTTTCCTAATCAAGGAAACTGAACATCAGAGGCTTACTGAGGCATCCAGGTATACAGTGAAGGGTTACAGTGAGGGGTTGGGTGAGGTTCCCACCCATAAGCCAAGAAAAGGGTGAAGGTGGTCAGGAGGTGGCACACGCCTGTCATCTAGCCGCTCGGGAAGCTGGGGCAGAGGGATCTAGAACTTGAGGCCAGCCTGGGCAATTTTTTTTTTTTTTCTTTTGAGG